AATACTAGTAACCTACGGATATCCTCTACTCTTACCGGCCATGTTTCACTGCCATAAAGTAGGACGGAACGAACTGCTGCGCAGTAAACACGTCCTTTGGTTGATAGACGGATATCTCGCCTACGCCATAAATGACGCAAGTTGGCAAAAGCTAGTCGAGCCTTCTGTATCCGTGCTGAGATTTCGTCACAAACTAGACCAAAAGGGCTGATGAGACTTCCAAGATAAGTAAAGCGGTCGACACACTCAACTACTTCACTCCCTATCACTAGTTCGGGTGTCGATGTAACCCAATCCTGAAGCAACATTTTACATTTCGAGGGAGAGAATCGCATCCCGAACATGCTTGCATTGTTGCTTAGAGTGGTCAGAAGACTCTGCATTTTGTCAGCGTCTTCACCAAATAAAACTATGTCATCTGCATATTCTAAGTCAACAAGTGAACCTCCCGGTAGAAGTTCAACCCCTGGAAATTTAGATGAGGAGAGTGTTATCTCTAAAAGTACGTCAATGACAAAGTTGAACAAGAATGGGGAGAGTGGACAGCCCTGACGAACACCACTTGAGGTGATCAATTCTGATGACAGTTCGCCATAAGCTCTCACTCTACCAGTTGTGTTCGAGTAGAGAGCCTTTATAAGGTTAATGTACTTCTTTGGTACTCCTTTCAGTGACAAACACTGCCATAGAACCTCACGATCAACGGAGTCGAATGCCGCCTTAAGGTCGAGAAATACTACCATTGTGGGGCGTCTGAATGTGTGTCTGTGTTCCAGAACCTGACGTAGTGTGAATATCTGATCTATACAACCACGTCCAGGTCGAAAACCAGCCTGGTTTTCTCTAGTCTGTTCTTCACGAGCTTTAGTTAGGCGTCGAAGTATTATTGAGGCCAATATTTTAGACACTATATTAGTCAAACTGATTCCTCTGTGATTGTCACAAGAGGACTTTTGTCCTTTCTTAAAAACTGGCACAATCAGTGATTGAGACCAGTCAGATGGGATTACGTCCAGTTCCCAAATTCTACCTAAGACCTCAGTTAATCTTGCTGCTAATACTGGACCACCATCCTTATAAATCTCAGGAGTAAACATGTCAGGGCCTGCTGCTCTCCCTCGTTTCAGATTTCTTATGGCTTTTTCAACTTCGTAAAGGGACGGAGGACTTACATTAACTTGCCATTCAGGTTGACTGGAGATCGTGGGAAACCGAAGTGTGGCTGAAGGCCAGTTGAACTGATCCCTAAAGTGTTCTGCCCATCGATCCAATCTCCTGGATTGAGAATGAATAATATGTCCATCTTTCTCTGAGATTGTTTCGCTAACGGTCGGTTTCCTAATTCCGGTTTCCTTAACGAGTCTAAACAATTGTCTGCTATTACCTATTGCCGCTGCCTTTTCCATCTCTCTTGCTTTCGCTACCCACCACTGTTCGCGATCATTGCGTAGACTTCTTGTCAGCTTGCGCTTAAGCTCACTCCGCTCTTCATTATGTTCAGAGCCAGGTGGAATGAGTTTTCGAGCATCTATCAGTGCGATAGATGCTGCTGAGATCCAGTGTTGCTCCCTAACTTTACGGTTTACCTTACTAGCAGATATCACTGCTGTTTCCACAGCTTTTCGGATATCGTTCCATGCTGCCTCGGGGTGGGCATCACATACATGGCTGCCTAACTCTTTTCCTAGTTGTTCCTGAAATATACTCTTAGCTTGACTATCATTAAGTAGGGCCCTAAGAGGTTTACTTGCAGGATCTTTCCTACGTCCAGTAAGACGCAAGCAAATACGCGCTCGCACTAGAGCATGATCTGAATCTAGGCATGTGCTCCAGAATGAGCGACAGTCTTCTATCGAGCCCCTCCATCGGTGGCTGATAGCGATGTGATCTATTTGGTCTGATTAGGTCCAGTAATGTAAATCCACAATTATAAATGCTTGATGACTCTGAGCAGGTTGGCGTACTCTCCAGCGATATAGTCCAACATAGGATGTGATATATTCCAATTACAGTCTATAAATGTAGATAGTATTTGATTTAGACTTCCGTTAACTCAATCACAAATGAAAATAGAACGAGGAATGAGAGAGTAGTAATGTATTTGTTATCCGGCAAGAACATGTCACGCTATGTAGTAGCTCAACGGAAAGTGTGTTCAAGGTCATTGACTAAAACAACACGTACAGTCATTTATTGATGAATGAACATACAGTGAAAAATTGACAAACAAATACAAATAATTTTAAAAACTATTTACAAAATAAGCTTGTCAGTCATATCTCCACAAAATCATCGATATATCCGTGTGCGGAATACATAACTTCCAATCGATTGACTACTAAAGGAATGAATAACTTCCAGATGCAGCATAATGTTGAAATCGACTTTAGCGAATTTAAGCTTATTAGATGCTGATCTCTAGTGCCTGGAAAACCCGGGCGTGTGCTTGGTTTGATCGTATGAGCTTCTTTTATCTTATTTTCTAAAGGTTGAGTGATTTATTTTATTGGGCTCGAAAATACCTCAAATCTAACTTGGAACTTTGCAGTTGATAATGGAAGAGTCTAGGCTAATATCAGAGACGTTGTGTGACAAATTTAGCATTTTGTGTAACTCGATGTTACCTTAGATATCAAATGGCGGTCTTTAGTGTTTACTGGGAACTTCCCCAAAACGTCCATTCCCAATTTTGCAAGAAAGTAGTTCGGTCTAATGAACAGTCAGAGGATTTCTCTGGTTTCAACGTTGTTTTCCGAGAAAGGCACGACCTCGACTTCATTGTCAGTTCACCATGTGACTGAAGACATTTGTTGGCTAAACTCAGTCTTATTCAGAGGAATGATACAAAGAATAATAAATGATGTAAGCCTACATAAAATAAGGAATTAAAAGAATATTTTGACCACAATATATTGGTCCTGAAAGAGGATTTTCGGTTTACTATTAAAAACCCAACTTAAGCTGCCATAAGTTAACATTTCGTTTCATGGAGTTCTCATAGCCCTGCCAAGAAGATTCTCTCGGAGTCTTGTATGAAATCAAACAAAGCGGTTTGAAGTGTTTACGAGTCAAGAATTTGTGTACTGAAGAAACTTTACCAATCCAACGATTTCAGCTCGATCTCTATGTACAAATACAACATGCAAAACCACTCGTTTTATCATAGCCTTAATCCTATTTTAACTTCATGGTTCAAAAAATCCATCTGTAACGTTAAACATTATGTGTTTTGGATTCTGTATGGCCAGCAGGTATGTTTTTTAAAATCATAATCATATGTTGGTTCATCAAAACAGCCACAAACATAAAAATAAAACTGTCTGTGTGATATGGACCACGCGTAACCATATCGTAGGTATTGAAACAAAACTTCAAGTATAAACACTGTTTACATGTTAAAGCTAATTTTATTTGCATCAAATTAATATTATTACTTTTAAATTACAAACTTTCAGTATTTTGGGCTAATCATCATTGTACATCAAAGCTTCCCAACGAATGCACTCGAAATACGAATTCAAAATAAACTGTCTGTTGATGTGAAGATCAACCATTTGTTGACACAAAAAGAGGATGATCAAAAGTAAGGCTATTTTCTTTCAGTGAACTTTCAGCTTTAAGATAAAAAGCGATTGTACATTGAATCAGTCAACTGTTATTTTAGATACTGTTTACCGAATTATTTTACGTTTTAGTAATAAAATGGATTTCGGTAAATTATGTAGGAACTAATTAGTTTTCTTGATTATGATACTGATTCAACCTTTATTAAAAATTGTGTTCTGTAGCTGAAAGAAATATTTCCATGATTAAATTTGGTAAACAATAGGATTCTGTAAAATTTAATCTAAAATGTAAATACAAATAATTTAAAAGTTTCTTGAGGGCATATTGTCGTAGCATAAATCATCTGGACTGAACAATAAAGTATGAGCGAACGTATTCACAAGGAAAATAATTTTAGAAGGATTACAGTGATTTAAAATGAGTCCAGGAAAGGTTCTAAAAATTTTTTGTGACAAAATATTCCTTCAGTCGAGTTGTCGTTTGATAGCATTAAAAGATAATGTTGAACGAGTAGACTGGAAAACATGTTCTTCGTTTGGAATTACTTGCAAAATATCATTTGATGTGTTATCAATCAGTGTGTTTCAAAAACGCTCACAAAACCTTCAAGCAACTGGACATTATAGCCGATCATGCCATTAGATTGCGAAAACTGAGAAGGTATTATTGGGAAGGACACAAACCGAATAGTAGAAATTTTACATACAAATAGCTTTTACATGATTATAACATTTGGACAGAGGCTTTAAGGGAAGACAGGTACAAGTACGAAGCTAGACTAGTCGATAGATTGACCTCCAACAGGGCGAGGTTATTTTATTCGACATCCATTTGTTATGAAAAAAATCTGATGACAGGTCATAGAAAGAAAGGAAATAGCATCTGTTCAGTGGAAAAAGTTGGAGTTCATGAACAATACACTGATTGAAGTAAACTACACGTAAATCTTTTTGAAGAAGCAAACATACACAATGAATTAAGATGCAGAGATATGAACTGTTGAAAAGAAACTTTTATTTATGAAAGTACTATTTAACAAAGATATAATTAGCGAAATTTCAAATGACAAAATGTCTAAACTATACTACTTAATCCCTTATTCATTCAATTAATACTTTGACCAGTCATCGCATCAACTTACGAAGTTAGATCACACAAGCTTTCCAACTGACACATAATAATACATCATATGAGCACAAAAGTATATCATTGTATGTAATTGTCTAATTGTAAAATATAAAATAATTCATAAATATAAATTGCACCATAATCCAACCAATGTTCTTAAGGAAACAGCAACAAAATATTCTTACTACATATATTGAATAAAGTGCAAAAAATGGTTTTCAAAAGTCCACCTATGGAATAAGTTGTTAAGTGTATTGTTATTAAGTGCGTTTTAAGGCTAAATTCGTCATTAACTGACTAATTATAGATACTTCAAGAAAATAGTATAAATTCTTATAGGGCATGAAAATGATTTCATTGAAAAATTCATACACAACTATGCATTGGCCTTGTTCTGGTAGTCCAAAATGTAAAGGATACTTCATTTACCCACAAGGAAGAAATGCACATCAGCTAGGATGTAATTATGCATTAAAACATAGAATAAGAAGATGGACAGTTGGACTTAAAAAGAAATGTGGATTCATTCGGGAAAGGAATTATTTTACTAATGATGATGAAATAGGTTGTATTAAACTATCACGTATAAATGTTATGACGTACTCTAGAAAATTGGATTGAAATTCAGTATGTTTTTGACGTACCATCAAATACTATTTAATACAATATTAATTAGCTTTATTGTTTCTTTTTTTAGTCTTCAAGTTGTTATCTAAATTAATAGTCTTTAGTAAAATGAGAAATTAACGACTTTTCAATTATCTCTTTCCTATGGTTCAAAAAATGATCTGTAATATGACAAAAGAATGAGATCAAAAAAATATTGATTGTCTTATGGATATATATTTGTATATTAAAAAGGATGTCACTATGTACCTTTAGATAAATGGTAAGTCACATTAAGATATTTCAAATCTACTATTCATTACTAAGTAGACTTGAATTTTGATTGTATATATCATACACATGATCCTTATCTTTAAAATAAATTTGTATATTACATTCAATGACCAAAGTAAAGAGATACAAAACATTAATGCCCATGACTTACTGTAAGCTTATATTATGTGAAGTGAACATTTGTTGGTAGACCATCATTGAAAGCCTTGAAAATCAAGATCAATTTAACGACTTCCCACTTTTTTTTTCGCCAAATTCATAACGTAATGATGAAAAAGTTGTTCAATTGCCCGAACGCTAATATGAATTTTGGACGTATATGATTGTCAATCATCTTCTTAGGCTTTGGCTCATGCTCTATTAGTTCTGTTTTCTTTAATGTAGACTGTTTGCTTTGGATCGTTTACTTCAGTTTCTGGTCGAATAAATATTAACCACACTGAACACATCTTACAACACCAGCTAGCTTTTGCTTTAAGAACATGAATGTAGAAAGGACCTTTATTTACGGTTTCAGTCGTGAAGGGTCGATAAGATAAAGTTCATTCCGCAATCATAGAAAAAAAGCCACGAAAATTACAAGGGGTGTCCAAATGCTGTATTACCAGTTAGTTAGGAAGCACGTTTAAATAAATGATGTGACTGTATTTTGGTATAAAGCTTGTAAAGTGATCTAAATAAACAAATAACTCAAAAAGTATATATATAGTGTTATTTTTTATCAATATTAATTCTTTGCGGTCACAGACAAGGGTTAGCCATCTGATATTTCACCACTCAGTGAAGTATACAGTTCTACTTACAACAATAAAGTCTCTTGCTTATCGGTGTATTACCACTAGAATTCCACTAACTGTTGTTGTATGAAATCCGCTCAGTCATACACCAAGTAGAAAACATTTATAGGAGTATTTATGGTCCAATGTGTAACCAAAACATAAACTGATATTCAATTAAAGAAAAATAATCTATAAAAAGAACTACTCTATTTAAAATATAATGCAATTTTTTTGAAACCAGTCATGAAAAATAACAATCCACTGAAATTACAATAATTGGTATAGTAAAATCTACAGATTTCGCTGAAATCAATATTAATGAAACCATCAAATTTTAAATCAACATTGATCAAGATTTTTCCTAGGGAAACTTGAAAGTATGCTCCTGTTTTGTTCAGTAATTGTAGTTCTGACGTTTAGACGAGTCGACAATGACCGAAATTTCCGAAATACTGAGTTGAATTTAGTTATTCGCTAAGTTATTATCTGTCTTAATTTGTTAATCTGTAGTATGCTCTTCAAAGATATCAACATGATATAGTTGGTTCAACTTTTGAGGTCTTCAAGAGACAGTAAAAGCTTTCTTGTTGAAGAACGCCAACTCTTCTCGTCTATAGTGCTGATGACATGTAGCACTATCAGATATTCCGTTTGAAACGGGAGAAATCACGTTGCAGTCTCAAACTGGATACGATAGTAATAATTTAATTATTTTCTTGGAAAGTTCAGGCTCATTCTTTCAGAGGTATATTCTAGCCTACTTTATCCGTCCACCAGTTAGCTGCAACTTACCTGATCACAGTAGTTCTCACAAATTATAATCCAATTGAAAATCCACATGGAAATGTGCTTATTAGTTCAAATTATTTCTTATTGATAGGGTGATAGAATATTTAAAGTAAACGTTCATGTATGAATCTGATAATAGTTTCACTAAGGAAATACTAGCTATCCTTTAAAAATAGAATAATGTAGCTTGAGAACTACAATAAAGTCAGGGTTACAAGTAATCTTTATTAATACATTCATATATAAACATAAATTTAAAAAAGAAACTGTCTCTTTACAGTTTGATATTCTTGAGGAGTATGCAACCATAGTGTGACAGGGTTAAACCCAAATAAATGAGTCATAATCCACTGCTTTCTGCTACATTCAGTTGGACGCATTATAACAAAAGGTTAGTCAATCCGAAAGTAAGAGGTTCTATAATGTTATTTCATACTTGTTCATATCGGACAAAATGTGGGAAAACATATATGTTGTAAGCAATGATGTATAGTGGCTAGCAGTGGAATCCAAGACGCGCGTTTTGTCCTATTTGAAACTCGTCAGCTGGATGTACCTACATTTCAGAGTTGATGTTCACTCTGGGACTCGAATTCAGCACCATTCGCTTCAAACGCCATCGCGTTATCCACTTAGCTACTGAGTCCTGATAGCCACTTGCTTGTGCAATAGGGCGGATTTAAATTCACTTGGTATTGTTTGGCTTATATCTTCCTATTGAGGTTTAAGACTGCAATTGATCAGTCTGTTTTTGGCATATGTGCGTATGCCTCGATAATTGCCTTAATACATCATTGCTTACAAAAAGCTTGTGAATTAGGGCAATATCGAGGCATATGCCAATAACAGACTGATCAATTGCAGTCTTAAACCTCAATAGGAAGATACAAGCCAAACAATACCAAGTGAAACATATATGTTATTTGAAAATGTATATATTTATTGAAAATTGTAATTTACACAGGGGGAGAAATTTTAATATAAAACCAATCTATGCTTTCTCAATCCTACTATTCTACTCTTCACATGAACCAAACCGATAATAATTTTCCATTTTAATTATGAATGGATTTTTTCATAAGCTAATAAATGTTGAATAAGCGTTAGTAAATTTCTTAATTCAAATACAAGTAATTTGGTTAAACTGAATTCTAAAATCACAAATCATATCATGTATGATACGTTTCATATAAAACAAGAAGTTCATAGTACTTAAAATAATAAGGGTTTATTGTACAAATAGAGATTTAGAAAAATTAACTATGCGGATCATATTTCTAGCAAATCTATAGAATTACGTTCAATGTGTTTTATTAACTATAAAGCTTATTTAAGTGATTTATGTTGTCTTTCCTGCTACTAACAACCATCCTTTGAATTCTATATGCATTGTTTACACCATATATGTAATACAGGAATTCCCATTTTCACAGATTGAAATCATGAGTCAGTTGAAGCTAGACCACCATTGAAAACCTGGAAGCACTGGACGGCAGTTTCGTCCTGGTACGGGAATCCTCAGCAGTGCGCATCCACGAACCCGCACCACCCATTTTCTCAAACCATCAGTTGGGATAGAAAACGTTAGATGAATATTCATGAGAGCTCACATTAATCTGATTCATAATTTACATGGTTATACAAAACCACAGTGTGTCACAATTTATAAATCTCAATAGATATATAACTAAGACATTTCGGGTTCAACATTGAGTAACCTATATATAAGTTATTGACTGTTCATTACCAATCGATAAAAGACATGGATTCAATTCAAATAAAGCTCACAATAGAGAAGATAAATATTAAAAATAGACTGTAGAACGACTATTTGATGAATACTACAAAAAGTAATACAGACTAAAAGACTAATCAATAACTAGTCACCAACTTTTACATTTTCCTGGATTCAATAGATAAACAAAGAAACAATGAATATACACCGTTACTTCAGTTCGATATGGACTTATACATAATTTACACTAATTACTAATAATTTCTGTAAAGAAATCATGAAAAGCTTGAGGTTAACCGATAGCTGTTCTATCAATTTGTCAATAATAAACAGTATTGACGATAAGACGAATAAATAGTATACATCTTAGAATTCTTTCAGACTACTCCAGCAATTACAATATTGATTTGTTTTTCTGATATTTGTGTAAATGTGAACTCGACTATCTCAACTAGTGTTAAATTGGTGAAAAAGAGACGAAATCTAGAGAAATCATGTTTCCTTCTAATAATCACATCCTCCAGTTCGGAAATGCAGTTGAAAACATTACTGAAATTTTCATTTACGACTCAGTTGTACGGTCCTAAGACAATAACTAGTAACTTCACAATTATGTGGTCTGGAGAATTGAACATACCTAGAACCAAATAGAGATATCACATGTGAACTTCGATTGTCTATAGAATAATGCTTTTGATAAAGTAGGTTTAAAAAAATTACAAATGTAATGTTTAGATTCTCTAAGAAAATTGTTAACTGTCTTCCTGCTTATGAACTGGTATCTTTCTATTTATTGTGTCTTTAAAATTTCGTAAGATAACTAAGCATCGAACTCATTTTAATTAATATAATTTCATTTGTTTATTAAAACTACGCATACTTTCTTGTCTAGCTTGCTTATCATCAAGGTTTTCAGAAGTACATGTTCAAGCCTAAAATATGGAATAAATGTAGTAAAACAAAAAGAAAGTGATTGATGAATAATGTATCCATTATATTTGTTTAAATGCTTACCACAAAAATTAAATGAATTGACAGTTAGTAGCAGTTATACAACCGTTTAATAAAAAAATCACACACACACGAAGTGACTAGAATTACGCACGACAGTCAGGGGTATATTTAAATGAAGATAATTAAGTAATGGTATTTATGTACGTGAAAAACGAGTCCATAAAAATTAGATAGTAGCAACAATAAGAACAGTTCGATAATTATCGATAATACTCATGAAAAACTCACAAACAGGTTTGTAATAACATATAAGAGGTGGAAACGAGTCGCGTGATAGCAAAAGCCACTGACTACACATAATATTTATCACAATTATATGCAACTTAGAACTGATTTTCTATCTGTTTTGTAAATTGAGGCACTATGTATACACATATACCGATCATTTGTGGAAAAAAGACAAATCCAACCAATTCGATAAGATAATAATCCTTGAAGTTTCCCTGAACAATAACATTTTATCAACCTTAGAAATTAATTAAATTACAATGATCTTAATAGGATTAAACGATATACCGGACAATCATTTCACACAATCCAATTATGAATAAGAAATATTGACAAAACAATTATACACTATTCGCTAGACAATTAAGTAGTTCATGTTATAAAGCAACAAAATCATCAGAAATGATAAGATGGATTTCATGACTAATGTCAATAATTCTCAACAAAAAGATTAACACGTATTGAAATACAAATGAGTAAGATACACTTTAACAAATAAAGATGAATGAAATCTAAGAATTATGCAACTGATAAAGAGAATTTCAAATTAAAAATC